TGTCATTAGAAATATGATTGTAGATAGATATTTGAAATCTTATAAGCATCTAGTCAGTGTTATTTATCATCATGGACAAACTATCCATTTTTATTCATAACTTACTATTTGTACATCTAAGAGAGAAGAGATGCAGATACATATTCATATATAGACACAATGAAAAGTACAACAGCTCGATAATATTGTATCTAGCATATATAACATACGATGAAGGAGTTATAAGGCGGACTTAACAAAAAACTTATGCACTTAGAAATATATATATATACTGAGAAAATATTGTATTTTGAGAATTCCATGCTGTACTGAACATCATGAAAACAGTGGTCTTGAATGCTGTTAGAGGCATGAGGGCGGTTATAACTTCCCGGTTGCCCACATCGTGGAAGAGTTCTTCTAGAGGTACATGAAAAGGAAATCGGGTTAGAGTTGATCTTAGTGACCTGAGAGCATGATCGTAGTGCACAAGGGATAACTACTTGAGGCCAGTCATATACTACCATTTTGTGGATGATCTTTGTGTTAGCTTTGTACGTTTTGAGACCTTACCAACGGAGACGGAAATCCGTAGGATAAGGTCATGTGTGCAATTTTAGGGTCAACCTTTTCTGACCCCACCCCTCCTTGTGTGAAGGCAGCATCACCGTTATGCTTGTTGTCTGAGAGAAACACTTTAGTGCCGTCATACTTCTGTACAGTCAGCAGTACGACTTCACCTTCGGACCTTAGGTTTGCTGCCTTTAGTCTTACGGCTCTTCAACCGATCTGTATGGCATGATAGGACTATGAGGGACGAACGTTCCCGACTCGTCTATTACTATAGGCAAGCCTAACCACCACATCAAGGTAGCAGCAACGGTCGGATGTACTGAGCATATTAAACTGATTAAGATAAATGTAACTTTAATTAGTAGCCTTAAAATCTTGATTTAGATCCTTGGTACAGTCGTCGATGCGCATGTCTCAAAACAAGAGCTTTCCAGTTGGTATGTGTCAGTATCACATATCGAACTTCATTTTGTAATTTTTTATTTATCTCTACCCACATTAATAAAAGTTTCCGATACTTAGGTTGAAAACACTTTTTTTCCATTGTTATTGCTTCTGGTACTTACTGTGCATACTTTTGTTTGCTAGACTAACTACTGAACTTACTAAACCAAAACGTAATCACAATTGACTGATCACTGGGTGGCGATCAATGTCATGTGTGTCTAGTCCTTATTAGTGCAGATCGAATGCTATCGACCATGTTGCAATGTGGCCACCAATCTAGGTGACTCGACACCGCGGGCACTATATATTGAGATTAGATGGTGGTTGGAGGTAGTCGACAGGAAACCCTGGACCCGGGTTTCGTGCTACTAGATACGCATGACATTGATCGCCACCCAGTGATCAATCGATTGTGATTACAACTCAGTCCTAAAGGAGGTCGGTCGCGGCTCGGATAGCTCAGTGGTAACGTCTCTGACTGTGAGGCCGGGTGACACGAGATGGAATCCGCCGGGGAACACCAGTTCCCTCAAGATTACAGGTACACCTTGCTGACGAGTGCCAAGTATCACTATACCCGGGTTCCCTGTCGACTACCTCCAATCACCATCTAATCTTAAACCAAAACGTGTTTTTTTAACATTATCTATGTTAAGGAATGCGACTGATCATTTTATTTTTAGCATATGTACATTGTGTTAGAATTTACTGGATATTGCCACGTGATCTGAAGTTTTAACTGACATTGGTCATTGGCTAACAATCGAATCCAATCCTATTCAGTACTCGTCATCTGGATGTATCTGTACTCCAGCGCTGATTTTCACTCTGCGAATTCAAACCAACTCAAACTGACTTCATCCGCAGTGCACAAGTTAGTGGTTATCGGGACTCTGAGTAAAGCGATGAATATGCAACGAAATGTATCGAGTTCGAGCCCGGGTGACAACATCACCAGATACAACTACATTCAGATGATTACTTCTGTATTGGATGAAACTCACTTTATGGATTCTACCTCTAGTTGATATCTAACCTCTGTTAAAACTGTATTTCTTTCAATAGATATTTAGGGATACCGATCTAAACTTAAAGAAAAGTAGTAGACTTTTTTCAAGTGAGTGGTTGAGAAGTTTAATGATCCATTAACAAAATGTTATCGTATTTTTAAGTTGGTTAGAGAATATATGCCCATGGAAAATAGCAAACAACCAGGTTATGTTTACTGATTAAACGTGAATTGTGAAGATCAGTGAGTGTAGAAGAAGATAAATAAATAGGGATAAAAATACGAATCTAATATTTGTCCTAGATATCCAGGATACAATATTATTTGTTGTAATATGAGGTAGTTAAACGAAAAAAAGATAAGTAATGTAATGGCATACTTCTCGATTGAACAACATCACAGGTTAAGCAAAGAAATATATTGTCTTCGACCAAATGACTTCGCTGTCTTAGTTCGAGTGAAATATATTCGATAAGAAACTAAGAAAGTGTTTTACAAGTGACTTCATTTCATTGCTTTAAAGTAAACTGTCTACCCAAATAACTCTGCGACAGTGATCTTCACTACAGCACTGTGTGACACGATCCCGAAACCCATGAGCAGTGTCAGTTCTTCGAAGATTTCAGATATACTCCGCTAACTGAAGAATACCAAATAACATGAAAAAGGGATTTGAACGCCATTAATTTTCCACTAGCGAATGATGACTTAAGTGGTTCTTTTAAGAAAACATCCTGTTACAGTTTTGCTTTGTTAACACAGAAGTGTTAGATACAAAACATAAACTTCACGGTTGGAAATTTTCCTCGGTATGCTACAGGAATTTTCTGATTAAATGTTTTGAATAGTAGCTCAATATAATAGGTAGTGAATTCACCTGGTCGGAACTATTCAAACAAGCAAATCTTAACTGGTAACGATTCAGCATTTAATTTAAGCTTGTCTACTCCCACTATTTGGTCATAATTCCCTTCGAATCACTGGTCATGTATCGTGGAACAGAGGGATTAGTAATACTTAGGTCGGAAGTAGGCAAATATACTAAATCAATTGATGGGGCTATGAATTTCCAGTAACATGTATTGCATATCCACAACCATTACTTATTTCGATACCGGTTGGGGTAAGAGTCGGCTGAAAAAGATCTAGGAGTATCTAAATCAAGATACTGCACAGATCTATGAAATCATTGAGTAGCGGACTATGACATGTTGGTAAATGTATGCTATCCGGTGGGGGTTTATGAGATAATCATGTTGTGTGACATGAGTTAAAGTTGGTAACCGTCGGTGAGATATATTCACACTTCATCTTCCTCCATATATTATGTTTTGGCAATCTTTCATACGTAACCTTCAACTTTTAGTAACATGGAAACTACTCCAATTTTGACTCCTTCACTATTCCTCTGGTTAATTTCAAATGGTTGCGGTAATGTACCTTAACCCAATGCATACATGTGTTAGTTCTATGTTGTTTATGACCGGCCGAGTCATTTCAAAGTCATATAGCTCTACCAATATATCCTCTTGATATTATTTCCATCCAATTTATGAAATCATTCTCGCAGAAACCTAATCAATATTCACTGAGTGTTATTTACTTGTATCTTCCCATCGTTATTTAGGACTACAATTGATCAGTCTCCTGGTGGTCTATGTGCATCCTGTGTGGACTGCCTCGATATTGTCACAAGCTTTATGATCAAAGATGGATAGCAGCTAGCAGTGGAATCCACGACGCGCGTTTCGTCCTCGTCAGCTCGATGTACCTGCATCTCAGAGTTGATGTTCACTTTGGGACTCAAATCTGATACCGCTCGCTTCAAACGCCGTCGCGTTCTCCACTTAGTTACTGAGTCTTCAGGCAATATCGAGGTAGTCCGCACAGGAAGCACATATACCAACAATAGACTGGTCAATTGCAGTCATAAATAACAATGGGAAGATACAAGTAAACAACGCCAAGTCAAAATAATTTCACCCCGTTGCACAAGCAAGTGGCTATCACGACTCAGTACTTAGATGGATAACGCGATGGTGTTTGAAGAGAACGACACTTTGTTCGAGTCCCAGAGTGGACATCAATTCTGAGATAGAGGTAAATCCAGCTGAGTCCGAAATAAGACTAAATGCGCGTCGTGGATTCCACTGCTAGCCACTATCCATCTTTACTTGTAAACCTAATTAATGTTTAGAAAAATTGATTAATCTCAATGAGAGTAAATCGATTAGATGAATCCGAATGAATATTTTATCATGATTCTCTATCAACCAGCATCTCATCTAGAAAATTATTTATAAAATCCCAGCATTCATGATTTGCTTTTCTCTGTTGTATAAAATAACAAAGTTAATTTTCAATATGGACTGATGGTAACTAAATATACTTTGTGAAACCCAAAAACTGTTTGGTCAGTAAAATAAAAACACTGAACATAAAATAACCCATAAGTTTTAATACCACTTAAGAAATTTAGAAGTCATACTTATAACAGAATGAATAAATTTTCAATCACCCAACACCAATTTACCCCTTCCCCCCTAAAAAAACATAATAAATGTATGAAAATACACATAAACCAGAAAAGAAAACACACGTACATAAATCTAGATCCAAGAATAGCTATGAAAGTACTGAAAAGAAATAAGCGAATTCCTTATTGAATTCAATAATGTAATTATTGATATTATTGAAATTTATAAGGCAAATAATATAGACATTAATATAAATATACCCTGAACGGCAAAAGTATGTTAAGATCCCAAGAAAAAAAAACGAGCAGTTTTAAATCGATGAGAAACACGAAGAATTTGTGACTAAAAAGCCTGAAATATCATTTTTATTATAGGAGCTTCAATAAAGTAGTTGTATAGAGTGACTGTTGCACAAAATAGAGTTTCATAATTGTATATATTAGTTAATACAGGGAAGACACAAGATTGGCGTTATGTTTTTATTTAAATCTCTTTTCTTCCCGAAAAACACATGTTTACTTCAATCGTTCCATTTGAGCAGACAATTCTTCAGTCCTCTGTTTGCATTCACTGAAATAAGTTCGTTGAGCTGCTACTAATTCTTTTAGAGCAATCATGTTGGAGTCCTGTGAAAAAAAACATATCAATCCGATAAATAAACGTCATTGAATTTACTGACGATGGGTATAGAATGAGATTACAATTGATTGATCACTGGGTGGCGATCAATGTCATGTGTGTCTAGTCCTTATTAGTGCAGATCGAATGCTATCGATCATGTTGCAATGTGGCCACCAATCTAGGTGACTCGACACTGCGGGCACTATATATTGAGATTAGATGGTGGTTGGAGGTAGTCGACAGGAAACCCTGGACCCGGGTTTCGTGCTACTTGGCACTCGTCAGTAAGGTGTACCTGTAATCTTGAGGGAACTGGTGCTCCCAGTCGCGGCTCGGATAGCTCAGTGGTAACGTCTCTGACTGTGAGGCCGGGTGACACGAGATGGAATCCGCCATCTAACAGAATGAGATTATTTGTATTCCGGATATTCACTTGAAAGGCAATGAACGATAGATGTGAATAACATTCACATCTCAACAGGTTGTTAGTATTCTTAGGATATAGGCTAATGTTACTTCAATCACACCGGATTGTTAAGACGCTAAAATCTCTACCAGTTTCAGACGGCAACCATAAAATCTTAAGCAAAATAGTAGTAAAATGTACAATATTTCAGATTTTGGTCATCAGGTTAACATTCTTCTTTAGAACGATGAATATGTATACACAGGGACATTAAATGAAAGTGGTAAACCCGTTTTTAGTTTTGTTTTTATTTGGCTTCTAATGATTCATTATTGATTGGATTATGCTAACAATCTTAACATTGATTCCAATTACGAAGTTACTAGTAGAACGATACTAACTACGCAAATAGAAAAGTTTATACAAGAGTTAATGCACTCTGTAAACGCAACACAAATATACTTTAGTCAAGCTTGTAATAAGCTCTCAATTACGCATGACTCGACTAACGTGGAGACAAAAATAGCACAATGTTTCATCCCTGCTCCAAACAACCATGATATATAGAAAAAAGAAGGGAATTTACACATTTTTTAAAAGTGCATTAGTAGGAATTAACCATTCCAAACGTAAGTTTTACTATCCATCATTCAGAACTGTCTCAAAAAGTCAAAAATGGTGACTATTAAAAAAAACCCTGTTTACTTTAACTCATTTAGACAGAAGTTTCGAGAAATAATTCATTTCCTAATATGGGTCATTTTGTTCATACTGTAACAAGAAAATTTGTACTATTTTTCGAAGTACATTAAAAGATCTAATTTATAATAACACCCCCCGCCCCATAAAAAAACGACTTTCAAATTCATACATAAAATTAATTATCAGTTAAGGGGTTGTGGAGATTATCAAGTTTTTGATTCAGATCATGAACCGATTGATGGTAAACCATCATTGAAAACGTGGAAGCATTGGATGGCCAACTCGTCCTATTGTGGGACTCCTCAGCAGTGCCCTGGGTTCGAATCCCGCGAACAGGATCGTGGATGCGCACTACTGAGGAGTCCCAAAATAAGGCGAAACGGCATTCTAGTGCTTACAGGTTTACAATGATGGTCTAACGTCAATCGGTTCATGATCTTAACTAAAAACATAAAATTGATTGTTTTGATTAGAAGTAAATACTTAACTGCTTGATTACTGAATTATTAAACGATTAACAGATTATTAATAAGTATAATAAGTTATTAACTTTGATCTTTTGAATATTTCTTTTAATGACAACAGAACATTTTACCTTTTTTACATGTTATCAATCAATCGAGATTTACTCGATATTTCATGTAACTCTAATTCAGTCATAACTATGTTGAAAGCACATAGAAGTAAGTCATGAATCTTATATATTTTGTGAAAGTTTGCATATTATATATTATGTGATTACAATTTGAATTGAAATTAAATCATAGTGTTAGATCCTGAATTTATCGATTACTGAAAGATAAATGTACTGTTCTTATTTATTTTGTTCAGATCAGCTCTGTAATAACAATCTAGGGACAACTTTATTAAATTGTTAATTATAGGCAAAAAAAGTGTTCTCAGTTTGTGCTAGGTTTGAAGCTAACACGAGTTCACCTAATCTGCGAACGAGAAACAAGACTCGGTTACCAAAGACCAGTAAGCTAGCTATTTGATGCGTCCCAGCCCCACTAACTAGAGAGAGAAGTCCAAGCTTGGAATGGGAAGTATATTCTGCAAAACAGCCAGAAACGAGCGATAACAACAAACACAATTCAAAACGTATATATACAGTCCAAAACCGTCCTTGAGGAGAGTTAACAAATAGCATACTAAAATACGCAACGGACCAGTAGCATTTAAGATATTTCCCAGTGGGAAATACAACATGAGGGTGACAAGAGCGCCTTTGGCGCGGAAACAAGAAAATTCAAATTTTCTAAATAAAATTACGAAATTTTTTGGTCAAACTAACTATATTGTCAAAAAAGATTACTTAGAATTTCAATTAGACGTGAGTAATATGTACGTATGTAATGAGTGTAATTCAATGTTGTATACAATGTGTTAAGGTTTATTAGTAATCCATAAACAGTACAGATGGATAGTTGCTAGTAGTGGAATCTAGGACACGTATCTCGTCCTATTTGGGACTCGTCAACTGAATGTACCTGCAGCTCAGAGTTGATATACACTCTGAGACTCGAATCCAGTACCGTTCGCTTTAAATGCTATCACGTTCTCCCCCTAGCTACTGAGTCCTGAGCCAACATAAGACTGATCAATTGTAGTCCTAAATAATAATGGGAAGATACAAGTAAAACAACTTCAAGTGAGTGTAAAGTACATATTAAAGTACTACCCAGCTAAAATACAGTTTTGCTTAAATTTTTCATAAAAATGGTTTAATAGTAATAAAAATAAGTGAATATTTTCACTGACTTACATTTACCGACTTGACCTGCTGTAGTTTAGCTCTAGTTTTTTCTAATTGTTTATAAAGAACGGTTTTAGCGTCTTCCATTTTTGTCAAAGTCTGTTTAAGAAAAGAAGATTGGTGCTAATGAATAAGTTTGTGATGATAAAAAACGAAAGTTGCGCATAATGGAAGACATGGCGGACAGTTTTGATTATAATACTATAAAAGTTAATCATTGTTCTTCCATTTATATGCAAATATTTGTGTACGTTTTTAAATGAAATCTGACGGTCACTGGTTATTACTCTGAAGGTTATTTTTATTCATTCTTGGGAACAAGAAAGGTGGTAGAGCTACTGATCAAAACATTAGTGAAATCAGTAATCCTAATCTTACTGGAAAAGATCAATCTAAATAGGATAAAGATACTACAAATGTAAAGACGTTTTATTCACGCTTCATTTTTTTAAAGGACGGTAAAAGCTACTTAAATCGACAATTCATAGAGTTAAAACAACAGAAAGATTTTTGTATTATAGATGCTGACAAACAATGTTTTGTCAATAATTTTATTCTGAAACCATTGACTTGTTGAGTAGATCATAAGTGTTTGAAACTATGTATAAATAGGAAAGCTTCCTTACTGTCTACCTTGGATTGAAATGTATTCTAACATTTCTCTGAAGTTCAGTTTTTTGTTATATCTAGTCATGGAAACTCCACTGTTATGTGATGATCAGAAGTATACTTCGAGCACTTCAAAAATAGGCATGAACATCAAGTTCACTGAAAATATCATTCATGTGTAAGTAATTCAACCATAGCGGATTAGGCATTCTCATCTGAAAAAAAACTTTGGAACGAGAATACTATATCTTGGTTTGAGTGACAATCGCGATCAGTTTTGTGCAAATATCAAATCAGCCAAGTATGATATTCAAAACAAAATTATGATGTTTATTTTGTGCTACTCACATTCAATAAGTAGTGTAAACATCGTGTCTCAGAATCCATCACTTGGGCAGTAAAAGTAGGTCAAATCGATCAAAAAAATTCCAGCTATTGTGGTGCGTGCTACTTATATTGATATAAGTAGTATATGACGCGAGTCAGTAATGTAATGTCTGGCAGTAGAAGATGGGGAAGATCAAGAAAGGAAGAGCGGGAATAGAAAGCAACTAGTATGGAAATGCAAGAACAATGAAGTTCGAGACAATTATTGAACATTTTGCAAATTAAATATTGTAGTATGGTTTTTCTATTTTACCAAGTAACTCTGTAATTTTATGCTAAATACAATTCGATTGTCCTCACCTGTGTTCTCCTTCACTACACTATCACTAAAATCTGGATCGGTAGCCTCAGAGATAGACAAAACCTGAAAATTCATGAAGTCATTATCTTAAAGTCTAAGTTCAAACACACAATGAAAAATATCATCTAGACTATTCATAAGACTGGTAGCCAATACAAATCTTTAGAAAGATTTAAGAAATAACAATAAACAGTGGCAACTATACAAAGTATAACAGAAGTTATTAATCATTTTTATTCTTTTAGGAATGTTCACACATTTTTGTCCAGATAATGAAAGTCGCATGTGAATATACACAGACTTGTTACCAGATAGGGAAATCAAATTTATATTTTATGACATGAAAATTCATACCGATTTATCGATTAATTCTTAAAAAAGTGCGATTATATGTGATATTTAACATAATTGGCTGATTTTACTATTTGAACAAACAGAAGTCAGTGATTTATGTAAAATCACTAAACTGAAATCATGTAAACTCTATCTCCTGGTGGATGATTTTTTTGTCGAATAGATATAAACGTTTGAATACATTTTAAATTCCTTTTGAGACATTAACCATATGGAATGTAACCAAATCTCTTGATAAATGAGTTACTTAGACCACGTAAATAGAGTTGTTATAATACTAACTGTTAGAATTCATCACGTACAGATTTATGTACTTTGGTTTGAATCACATTGTTTATATGAGAACTAGTAATACTACGACTGTTGAACTATGGTTTATTCGTTAAGGGCTACCAATTCCAACTATTAAGTACACAGTTCGAACCCGATCACAAATATCTTTAGTTCGGGAAGCAGCGTACTACCTCTAGCTCTAATTCCCAAGGTGTGGATCAAAGTACATAGCTGTGTAGTTAATAAATTAATTACATTAATAAATATTATTGTGCCGCTTAAATCGAACGAAAGAAATATCATCAACGGTACTTCTACACATTCCGAAGTAAAGTGATATTAATTAAGATAAAAATTAATAGATTTTGCCAATGACTTGCTAGAAATCATAGAAAAGTAAGTACAAACAAGATACATATTCTTTCACATCTCTTCAATGTACCAATTTCAGTCGCCGCTTTCATTTAACATGACATTGATATGGTGAATAAAAAGCTTATTTAATCTTCAATTTAATCAGTACTGTTATAAACAAACAAACATACCACGCCAATACTGATCATTGAAAATTATTTGTGCACCACATATTATACAAAAAAATCAACAGGGGATTACCGAGTGCACATTGATAATATTTAGTAATGTTTTATGTTACTGGAATATTTGTATTTTTGTAAAGTAAAACAACTGACCGACTAATTCGTTTTATCCTTATAACGAATTATAAAGAAAAACCAAGTTATTGTTAATCATATGACTGGTGAGAATCTATACAACATATATCAAACAAATGCCTTAAAACCATGTATATATGAGCTATGCATATTTTAGCATGTGATTAGTGAATTAATTGGTGTGTAGATGATAGATCAGTTATATAGGGTGTTAACATATCCCTCCGACTGATAATGAACTAATGTTTTAATTAATAAACCATAACAATCAAAGGAAACTATGTTTTCATGTGGAATTTCAAAAGTAATTAAATATCTTTTATAAATTATTTATAGTAAGATAACTCAATCTGTCATTATAAATTTATGACTGCCTATTTTAGAAAGACAAAAAACAAGTCTAGAATAAGGTTTACTTCAGGATCTGGATGTTCATTATGCTTCACTTTACTTCTTAATTTATCATAATCCAAACGATACGACTCCAAATGACTAAGTTCTTTCTATAAAAAGATAAACATATAAAGGGGTTATCTTAACATAATTATTATAGATAAATGTCTATTAGAGTAAAACTCAAAATCAAAAATGCACGTTATTCAGTAGATAATAGTCTATGATACAAACCATCTACAAGGTAGTTAGTACTTACACAAATTATATAACCAAATAACTAAAATTAATTTGGACATCTCCGTAACTGTCTACAAACACATTTTATGAGAACTCGAATTCTATCGTCTGTTATAAAGGTTAATTAGACATGATATTGCTAAAAAAATGCGGATTAAATGGGTCTGATGCCAGTTTTAGTTCAGAATATACTTAGATATATATTGTTAACATCGCTTCATATCTTTAAAAGTACTAATTCTTTCTTCTTGAAGTCTTTCTTTTATATATTACCACCATTAAATTAACTACTTCTATGAATCCAATGTTCATCTGGCTGTGCTAATGCGGTATGACAACTTGAACCGATGCATATATGTGCCTGGTCCTACGTTGTAGTTCAATGACTGACTGATTGAGATATATGTGTGAAAATGTGTCTTTTTCGATACAGTCGATTAAGAAGGCTTCTTTTTCACAAGAACACAAAAATCTTCTTGAAATAGTTATAAAATTTGATTGATCAAAAGAAAATCTAAATTTTACTAAGCAAGATCTTCAATAAATGTATTTTTATTAGTCTTGAGAATAATTCAATTTGCTGTTTTATTTCTGTTTCGGATTACTTTTCTTCCCTAACAAATTTACACCCAGTATTCATAGTGTGATTTGATATATGTCCAAAGTTTTAAGCTCAAAAATGTTTCAATGTTTCATCTATCTTGTTGTACAGGCTTATTGAGAAGAAGTTGAAATTTATTGTCATTCTGACGAAGGTGGATATATGTAAAATATACATCAATTAAGGAAACGACCAAGCTATTCATAAATCCTATTACACTAATTTAAACCAAGTAACAGTTATAACTACAAGATCTAGAAGAATGAAATTTTGATAAAACTAGTTAGCAAGCATGATCTTTATTTCATTGTTGGTAAAGGTTGAATTGTCCCATTGCTGATAAAGGGGATCAAATTTTCACACTAAAGCTCAAACTCAGTTAACTTCTTCAACTACCAATCCGTTATCCACTGACCTACTGAGTCTCGATAGCCACTAGCTTGTGTAATGAATATAATTTTCTTATTATCCTTGTTAAGGATTTAGTAATTTGTAATCACTACTATATTACTTCTATGAAAGAATGGCTTATTGATTAAATTACTCAACTTTTAATCAGTGGACTACATGATCGAAGCACAACTCATCTGCTTCAATTTGAGCAACCGGATAGTAGTATCACAAACTCAAAGTTGATTACATGAATTCATACTTGGCATATATTCAGGGAAAGAAGCCTATCTTTTTTTAATAAATGACCTACAAAATCATCACTATACAGTTTAATGTTTTGTAGATAACAGTGATATTTTACAGGGAAGAAAAAAGATTTTAATGAAGAGTTGTTCAATCAATCAACATTTGTTTATTTAAGAGCTTACATCAATATTTTGCACATTAGTGATTAATCATGATTACTTGGTCATATATTCAATCAATATGGATAATTGATTACAAGTTCACATACACAATAAGTTTCCATTTTACTGAAGAGTCATAAGGGTAAACATTTTTGGATAGGCTTTATACTGGATTCAATATAAAGGATACAGCACTTTGATTTTATTGATTTGTACAAATAAATATTAGACTTATGCGAATATTTTACAGTACTAAAGATCATTCGTTAATATAATGTGATACATGTAATATACAAGAATATAAATTAAATGACCAAAAAAGTGTTAACCATCTATTCAAATGAAAGTATAACATCAGTTAAGTAAAGTATAGTATACAATAAATAACCTTATAAGTGATAACTTTATTAGCTTAGATAATATGGCAATGTACAGCCAGATAGCTCGAGGCTCGGTATTTTACTTTTAAACCCAAACGTTACATAGAGAGCAGCTTCTCATAGAAATATCGTTAGAATTTACTGCGATTTTATTTTATTGTAGCGTATATTAAACTAAATCCTTTCATGAGTTCGTCATGGAAATTACTATCGATTTTTGTAGCATCAAGATGAGTTCCCTAATGTCCTAGTAGTAAGTTGTTATTTTTTGTAAATTCACCCAAATTGGAATTAGGTCCAGTCACTTATCGAAATCTTGGATGAGTACAAAATCATTAAATTAGTGAAAAACTCTTTTCAGTTAATCTCCACATTTATGTGACGATGAAAACTAATAATAAAATCGAATAAATTGTAGATGATTTAAGATGCAACTCCGCCTGGAGTCCCGCCGGGAGCTACTGCCGGTTCCAAGCCGTGATAAAGGAGGAGGGTTGGGCATGCGGTTAGCGACCCCATCCCGTAGAGAACTAACCCGCTAAAAAACGCCAACCATAAAAAATTATTTGATTTAAAATGCGTCAGTGATGCATATTTTTTCTGAATAGGGACTGAAACTAGTTGATAAATAGCACCAACTTTAAAATGCATACTTATTATTTGGATAATAATTGATGTACTTAACTTTCAAGTACAACGAGGAGGCTCGCAGGTAAGTTCGGATAGCACTGATGAATCACTACTGTTAACACAAAAAGCACAATTCAAAGTAAAACACATAGAAAACAATAGGACTAATCTCTCTTCAACAGTTTTACTGTAAAACCATGCATTGTTTTGACTGAAACTTGCTTTGACTAATGAAAGTCAAATGTTAAATATTTGTTCATTTTGACTATGTTGAACAATGTAATCTTCGTCAAAACAATGATAATTTAGTATAGTTTATTTGGTCTCACTTAAATAACAAATATGCTCATATGACTTGTATATTAGACTGTATAAATTTAAGAAATTTTGACATCTTTCAAGTTGGTTGGTTCTTAAAAAAGAAACAAAACAGAACATGTTTAGAAAAAAACACACAGAACACACTCCAATCAATAAATCATGTGCTTCAGGAGGCTAAAAGCGTAATTCATTATCTAAGGTCAATCAATAATGATAACCATTGTATACAATCAGAATAAAAAAAAGAAGAATCTAATCATAATCATTTTTCAATTGCATGAAATCTAATTATTGACAAGCTAGGAAATCGATTAATTGAAAATCAGTGAATGAAGTATATTTCATTGTTAAACATAATAAATATTCTATATTATATGAATAATTAAGAGAGAGAAAAAAACACATGAACATATGCGTATTGATTAGATATAGTAACTCAAAGAAAGGAACTTAACAAAAGAGGATTAATTGTAAATGTTTTTCAGAACATATATATTAGATAAGTAAACATGTACATGAGTTCACTAGTGAATTCTATTTAAAGTCAGTCAGTCAGTCAGTAACAACGTAGAACTTCGTACGTACGTAAATCAGTTCGAGTTGCCATACCACATTAACACAGAGAGGCAGTTGTCGATTCAAATCCCGTAGTGATAGAGGTAGTAACAGTACAAGCAGTAATTGGGAAGATTATGGTTTAGAGATGTTATTTAAAGAGTATAATACAGTGAAATAAATTTGGGAAGAGAAAAAAGTGACAAGGAAGAATCAGGAGATTAAAGTTTGAGAGAACACAAAGAGTGTATGCACCTGCGCCATTGCAAACGATTTTGAACCATGTCATTCAAGGTCTCTAACCATCGGTTGCTATCATCTCGCGGTCCCCAACCAGTTAGTCTACACCTACCAACATGACTCAGTCCACTTGTCAGTGACTTCATGGACTTGTGCCATGTTTTGGTCTGGCCGCCCCTAGCTTTCTTCCAACCTACTCCTATACCATTGAAACTTGGTATTCAATAAAAAAAAACAAATAAATCAACAACACAAATTGAACAATAACTTACTTGTATTTCAGGCCATTCAAGTGCCAAAAAATGATGTAATACACATAATGTTTTCTTTTCTAGTATCGCATTCCTTTGACTTTCAGCTGCAGCTATTTGACGACTGTACTCGCCACATTGTGACAATGCTGCACCTAAAATGAAAAAAAAGAAACACGATCAAGTTAAAACTTAGTAGCTTAGTAGCTATTGTTTTATATTAGATATCATTTAAATTTGTTGAGGTACGATTCACTGTGTTATTGAGTCAATAGTATAATTCGATGATCAGGTAGTTGAATACATTCAATAAATAATAATTGTAAATTATATTTCTAAGTCAAATATTTATTTTATGGGATACGTATAGTATAATAAGCATTTATTTTCATCGAGCTGCGGCCTAATTATTAAATTACTCAACTTTTAATGCGTAAGTTTTAACCTCTCTTATCTACTTAGGTTTGGACAGATGAACACTAACACCAGTACTCATATGAACTTTACAAAAACTTGTAATTTACGTATGAGCTGTATCATTATATCGTTAAGGTTACTTATCCCAAAAGTGAGTTGACTAAGAATAGTAGATGGTTATTTGCATTAATATTAGGATTAAACTTTGGATGCACATAAAGATATACACTCACTCGTTTTTGCTCACAAATAATAAGCTGACTAATGGCTGGACTGAAACGATGTATAACCTTAAACACAATAGTTTACCATTTCATGTTGTTACACTTTACATTAGTACAATTAATATGCGAAAATGTCGAAAAAATAGGAAAAACCGATACTGGTATTTAAAAATAACAGAAAAAATCCGAATGTGACAAATCGAGCAAGCAAAAGATGAGGAATCATAATACAGACACAGTACTACATAATCCTGTATAACTGTTTGAATGCTCACTAATCTGTATGTAGCTTAAGTTAACAATCCCCATGTAGTAGAATATGTTTCTGAAATTAGAAATAATCACTACAAGGTTTCATTACATTAACATTATAATGATCTAAAGTTTAAGACAAGAATAACGAAACTATCTAAAAACCGTGTAACCGAACCGTGATACTGGTTACGTTAGAAACCATAATATAGGATGGAAATTTGATTTATGCCAGTCATTTTGTATCATAATTTATATTTACATCGAGGATGTAAAAAAATCTAGTTACCAAATAGTACAGATCATTCCAAGTTCTAACAGAATTTAATCGATAATATCTGTACATTTACAATGCAATTGTATGAAGTGCAATGTTAATCAATCGTCAAAGTGTAACTTAGGGTAACTGGGTACACAGTTCAAGTTCACAAAGTGAGGGAGGGATTGATTTCAATTGCAGTGGACATTCAAACATGAGGAGCGCAGGACACAAAACAGAATAAAGACTGGAAAATAATGGGTTAGGAATTAGATTAATAGTATTGAGGAGCCACAATTAGAAACAGTTAGGAATGTGTACTATAGAAATTCTGAATATAAATGTATATTTTCGGAAAGTTAGCGCAAAGTTTCAAAGTTTGTAATGAATGACCAAAAAAACAATGCATGTCAGTATTGAAAATTGTACTATAAAAAAAAGCTTACAAACAGATGTATCGGTGGAGAAAAAGTTTGAAATGTATGCATCAACGTTAATGCTGATAGCATATTACATAAAAAGAATAGAGGAAATAAATCAATTTCAGTCTCATCTGTTTACTTTATTTGGTCATTACTATGAAATTGAATGAATTGATTCATTTTCCAAATAATTAGAAATTTCTAGAAGAACAAGCATGTCGTCTAATGGTCATGTGATAGATAGGTATGTAAATAACCCTTAATGGCGTCGGTGTATACACTCTCATTCTTCCCTTAAAGTAAGAGATTAAAATCGCTTCATATCTTTCTTTCTACGAACTAATTCTTTTTTCCTGTACTGTATCCTTATATGCAATCTTTCTTTTATATATTACCACCTCTGAATTAACTACATTTATGAATCTGGTGTCCATTTTGTTGTGTTAATGTGATACGGCAACTTGGACCGATGCGTATATGTGCCTGGTCCTACGTTGTAGCTGACTGACTGATTGAAATAACCCTTATTTAACTATTTATACTTACTTGAAATAAAATCAACTTGAATTTTGTCTAAATCTAGACGTTTTTGTTCAGCTCTTTAAATATCTGCAAATGATTTGGTTCATGTAGTTATTTATTTTAAATTGTAACACATGATACTTTTCTGTGTTTTTTTCACTATTTAAATCAAATCAGTGAACGTACACAGGATGAGAATGAATGAAGTGGTGATTTGGAATAGTTCTTATTATCAAACTGATTGGAAGTATGAATGCCGGTATGTTGCGATTTTTCTTCAATCATGACTGATTGATATATAATTAACATCTCCGTAGCATGATGTAGTGATATTTTTATCAAAGAAAATTTTATACATTTCGTGTAAGTCAGCAAAAACGACAGAGAACGAAACACGCACTCTATCATGGGTAACAATGGTGTAAATAATAATTACCGCTTCATTTTGGTTGATCTCCAGGTGCTAAGTCAAATTGCAAACGAGAGTGCAGCTTATCCCTTTCCCATTTACATATTCTTGTAATGACTGCTATCTTTCAAAAAACAACAAGTTCACAGAAAGATTTATGTTAAATTTTCAAAAATCACGTCACATTTTCAAGCCTCTAGTTCTAAGTCTGTGAGCATGACCAGTAATCTACAACATTAACTATATTCAGAAGAAATCAAGACCTATTTTAGATTGCATATAAGCAATGATAACAGAACTGCATGAAATTTTAGGATACATTATGTATCTCAACATCGATTCACTTAGACTAATCTATGAATTAAAGGTTAATAAACAAAACGAAACTAGTACTAGTAAATAGGCTATAGGGTATATTTTAATTTGATTTAATATAACTCACTAACCAGTTTTATATATCTGACTTTGAGTCACACTTTTTGTATGAGCTCTAGCAAAACTACATACTTTTCAAAACTTAACCAGAAGGAGTAAAGTTCAGAAAGTCAACCAAATAATAGACAACTAATTTAGCACTAATTCATTTTGGGCATCTAACAGGACAATAAAAATGAATCGGAAAAGATGGACTATATTAACGTTTAGTTCAAGTTTTTTTTTAATGGTTCCTAATTTGATCTATTAATTCATAAACAAGATGTTTAAGATATTTAACTATGAATAGATGTTAAATTAAATTTGGAAAATAGAAATGAATAAAATATACAACCAATTATAAACATTATAACAATGAATAGAGCCAGATGGTGGTAGATAACGAAAGAGGTGAGCAACAATGTTACAATATGCCAAGAAATAGGCAAAGGTAAGGAGAAAAGAAAAGAAGATGATAAATTTCAGGTCAAAGAATCGATTTATGCGTTATTATTTTTTTTTCTCTTTAAAAAGCATCATTCATTTAACTTTAAGAATTCTCACTTCATTAACACAAAAATATTAATGAAATAAATGAAGAATAGTTTTTCAATTAATGATTATTAAAATAAAGCAAGAAGAAATATTGATGCAGAATAGTATGAATTCATATCATTTCGAGGTTTCTCGTCAGCTGCTTACAACCACTGATATGTAATAGAATTTTATATTGAGATAAGAAATAGTCTAGGACAATTGACATAAATGAATGTAAATAACTGGAATGACAATGGTTTACAATGATAACTATATATATATAGGTTATTAGGTGTTATAATCAAGGAAACATTAAGGATGGATGGTGTAATAGCTGAGTGGAGTTCAGAGACAGATAAGATAAAACTGTTACACCATCCCTCCCTTATGTCTCCTTGATTATAACACCTAATAACTTATGACCTGTTCTTGCATGTATATAGTTATCATTGTAAACCATTGTCATTCCAGTTATTTACATTCATTTATGTCAATTATCCCATACTATTTCTTATCTCAATATAAAACTCTATTACATATCAGTGGTTGTAAGCAGCTGACGAGAAACCTCGAAATATTATGAATTCATATTATTCTGCATCAATATTTGTTCTTGCTTTATTTAAATTCATAAAGGGAACTAATTGCATGAAATTTTTGTAATGCCTATTAACTTCTACTGTTAGAAATCCAAATGAATACTTCAATGAGATAGACAATTTCATAGGTGAATAGATCCTTTAAGTATTTACAATGTATAAATTTAACATGGACAATAAAATCTAAATTAATGTTTCTAAAATGGTTAGTGTTTAATATAGAATGTAAAATGAATTTATTGAAAAGAATATACTTTCTTCAGGTTATTAATTGTTATACAGTTTGACGCATTGATTTTAATTTGTAGGGTTTGATACAAGAAATACATAAATGGTAATGTAGATCACCAACGTAAATGATCTATGTCGAAATGATTGGAGGCCTACTCGAGTTAGACGTGAATGATGTGACAAACTAGCTAACGTCGAAGTCACACCTCGTGGTCAGCACCTCACGTGGACTACCCCATTGACGTACCAAGGTACCATAGATGCTTTGAAGACTGTACAACGCGGAGGACGTTATTACAGAAATATATTAGTTTAAGTAGATACAAGCGGAAGTAAGACCACTGCTGCGTGGGACAGTCCATGGCATACGACTAACTGATGCGCGTTGGTTGTCCCTGACCTTGACGAGGATCGATGATTTGCTCGATATTCAATGGACCAACTGCCGGATGATTTGGCTAGGGTTTAGTGACATTTCACTGGCCCTACAGTAACTTATCAGATTAGAAAATGTGTTGCATGAAACGTGGAATTTAGTAATTAACCATAGAACTTATTCATATATTACAGTGACTGTTAATCAGTTTTAGCTATCATAATTTGTTTAAATTTCAAAACTGATACATTCCTATTCAAATGTATGAAAAGTTATTATGGCAGTAATTTAAACAATAAATAGAGCTCCATTCTTAATTCTATATAAATAAATTCTGAATAAAGTTTAAAAAGAATAATCTCAGAACAAGTGAACATTGGTGCTAAACACTTAATGATTTCTAAGCAAAGATGGATAGTGGCTAGCAGTGGGATTATTTAGTATAATAATATAAATACTATAAATAATTACTACCCATCTTTGTTTATAATGCTTGTGAATTAAAACAATATCGAGGCAATACGCACAGTATGCACATATGTCAATAAGAGACTGATAAATTCCAGTCCTGAATAATAGTGGGAAGATTCAAGTAAACCATACCATGTGAACTTTATGATTTCTGGTGAGAAATGATTTTTTCAATGATTAACTAAATTACTATAATATTTTTCGGAGATTGTACTGAAAATGAACAACCCAGATCTAGAATAAATGTAAAATAATGCCATCAAAAAACCTCATATTATTTAAACGGTCCAGCTGTACATAAAGCACAAAAAAATTCATTATGGTTCATAGTGTACCCATTAGTTTACATGTTCGAATGAAAGGAGAACATCTATCAGATGTAATAAATTTTGTGTAAATGAAATTATTTCTCAGTACTGATCACAATAAGTAGATTAAATTGAGAATATTACAGCTATTAGCATTCATTGAAACATATTTTTTCTAATCATTTAGTATCCTACTTTGTAAAAGTTGGTGTACTGAACAGAACTTTAAAAAATCCAACTTAGCAGAAGAGAACAAGCATGTACATCATTGTTCATTTTTAAAACGAATTGTGATGATTAAATATTCTCCAGTTTGTAATGTTTTGTGATATGAAGGGTAATAACTAAGTTTGAAAATCAGGTTATTATCAAATTGCCTAGTAAATGCTGTTTTTTGAAATTTGTATATTCTCACTGCCTTTTTTAAATGAATCCCAACCATGTCTCATCTCTGTTTAATATTTTATTCCAAAAAATGTTAACTAACTAGATAATTTTTCGGCCGGCCGATTGTAATATCTTTTGATGACGATTCATTTGAGTGCTTAGATCAAAAACTTGGTACTGAAGGTATACATCAATCGACTATATGATAAAACTAAGCGTCATCTATCCGTCAGTATTTTTCATCATTGAAAAACGTAGGATCTAATGCTCATAATTAAACATCAAAACCTTATCTTTACAAGAGTTTTCAGATTAGCTAATGATGAGGCCTATTGATTCAGAGCTGTAGATAGCTCGTTCACTTACCAACCCACCAATCATTCACCAATGACTGAACTGTGCATTGAGCAACACTCACTATGAAAAAACTTAGTAGTAGCACTACGCTACTGGAATAAATACTGTGAAGAGCAAACTTTGACCTGGCAACATCCCTGTCGAAAAAAACCGTTCAAACCCTGGATTTATCAAGTAATAAGCAATCAATACCATAGCTTCAGTGAAAACGATTCACAATGTAGATTGCAAATCACATGACGGCAACAGTTACTTTCGTGAAAAAACGCCTACTATGCATGGATTAGATAACTAGGATCATTAACTGCTTGAAATAAAGACTGAAAAAAGTTTAGTAATTATTAATGTATTGAAGGTATAATTGTTTATGAATACTGTTATTATTATTCCCAAACTCTAATTTACTTCCGGAGAACTTATTGATTTGTCTTTATAAAAATTTATTTATCGTGAAATATTAGCAAATTTTACCGAGTATTGAAAGCCATACTCCTTATTAATTCTAAACTTGTATTTCTGTTTGATTCTATATTTTACTACGGTTTGTAAAAATGTAGCTCATAAGGGAATTTACGATCACTTAAATGTAACGCAACTGCATACACATTAGCAAAACTTATTCGTTCAGAATATTGGAAAGTTGCAACCACTAGCCCTTGATTTTAATCTGTTAGTTAACTCATATTAGTTTAAGTGTTTGTTTTTGGTTGAAATACTTGCATGATTTGCTTCGCAATATTGAACCTGTATAAGTTTTGTATTAAAAAGGCTCATTATGATGGCATGGCGACTTTAATTTAACAAATAAAGTAAGGTGGCCTTATTTATACTGATTCTCAACTGATTTACAAAAATTGTTATGTATTTTCGATTGAAAAGTTTAATGAATACATGGCCAGTTCTGCAATACTTATTAAGCTACATAACTCTTCATTCGAAAAGCCAGGTATATTCTGAAAAACTTAACTAAATCATCAAGTACAATCAACGAACACATCTTAGATCATATTATAACGTAGAACAGAAAATTGCTATCATGTCAACTTTACCTAAATACAGTGTCTGAAAATTTCAATATGTGATAAAAATCATCATCAAATTATTTATCTTTCACGCTAGTTAACATGGTTATAAAATGGCAAGAATTATTACCACTGACCTTTCGTGACACATTTGATAACATGTTTTTCCAAGTTTATATGAATTCAACTACTTCTAATGTCCTCTATCTTTTATTAGTGAAGAGTAAAAGATACCTTCAATTCCATGAGAAAGTGATTCTACCATAGGTGCATAGAAAAAAGTGGGGCAGACGTATAAAGTGATAAACTCTTTTTGAGCTGTGGTAATGACTAAATATTACACACACATGCATCTCGTAAACCATGATAAGGATTTAAATCAACAGTACCTGTTTTATCTGAGATACCAACTGTCACCACTAAAAATATAATGATATATATTTGGCCGTCGCGATACAAGACACTGTACACATTTCAGTAGGTTATATTTACTTTTTATACATTTATTGAACCTCCTCTTCGGTGAATTGGTGGGCCGATAAGAAGTAGACGACACTTTTTCCACCATAAGTTCGAAATGTGTGTGCATTTTTAAGAGGCCTATTTGTTATTCAGTTCAGGAAAGAAGAAAGATATTGTAACTATTATTGTACAGAAGTTGTGTTTAATTAAACGTTGTAAGTAACGTGGGGAGTTTTTTTCGTCGCTATATTTTACGGACTTACCATATGCAGTACCAGCTCCGACACTAACAGCTGCATTGAGTAGTGTATCTCCAAGATGTTCGGCAGGTAACTTTGCAGGAACCTTTAGCCAATAACTTTTATTATCTGTGACCATACTTTCTACTTTGCAAGCTAAATGAAATAACGAAGTATAGATTCAATGATTTGATTTAAATTTTGACAAAATGTGATAAATATTGCAGTGCTCAGGAATGTGAATTCACATACTAGGCGATTCGTACGTTAGTAGTATAAAAGTCATTAGTACTACTAATTAGAGGCCTTAACCTTCATTGATGAAGTGGTTCGAACTCCGGAGCAGAAGTCGAATATTAGTACATATGCTATCAGCTAACATAGTGCTTTATTACTTGTCAGTAGTGGAACACCAACACTTTCACTGTTGAGCACTTTTAGGGGGAAATGTAATATGATAGATAGATGTTGTATTCAGTTTTTTGAAAACCGTATTTTTTTCTAACTTTAAAGGTGACGTCTCTGTAGGTTTGGATTATAACATGGGGTCAAATTATGGATGTATATATATTCAATTGTATATCTTCTATCAGACAAAAAATATCAACTCAGCCATCAGGCTCATATTTGTTAAGATGTTCTTCTTGAATCTTGATGCCAAATGATGAACTACGACAAACCATATTTGTATTCATGAATTTCATTTTAATACACTGTTTAGATATATGTATTTTCTGACAATTTTAACAAAATATAAAACTAGGAAGATATTTATACTTTTTGAAGACTTTTTGAGGGGATTTCGAGACAGACTGGATCACAATAACCTTGGGAACTTCAAAAAAGCACCATCCGATGTTATTTTTATGAAATGACAGTGACAGAAAAATTTCACTCCCGGATTTACCTTTCCGTGTGGTCTTTAGTGAGTATTTTACAGATCCAACAAGTTACGTTGATTTTAAGCTACGTCGTAAAGTGAATGTCATTTAGCTACACAAATATCTATGTAAACAAAACAAAACATGGCAGTCAATAATCAGTTGCGGTGGTAACAGCTTTTTCAGTAATGAATGAACCGAAACTAAGAGCTTCCACCAATACTAAAGGAAGTCTATTCTAAAGGTGACGGGTTGGTCATACTGGGGGAATTGTTTATTGTAATATAATCTTGGAAAATGGCACCTGCAGTCAGATCGATAACCAAAGAGAGAAATAATATAACACCAGATTTATAACTTCAAAGTTTATATACAGCAAACAAATGAGGTCTATATGCATACTACTCATAAAGAAATCAAAATTTTAACATTCTAGCGAAGTCGAAATTATTATTAAGTGCTTGTGTACTGAAAATACTTTCTCACAGAATAAGTGACATGTTGAGCTCTCAGAGATCAAGGCGGACGATAAATGTGTAAGTAGAATATGAAAAGAAACGCCGAACAAAAAAGACGCACAGCATACACTTATCTTAAGTTAACTGAAAAGTCATTTCATAAGGATAAAATGAGTTTTTAAAGTGAACTGACCGACATCATCGAACTTCTTTACTGTGAATAAAGAGTAATTAGGTTGTCGATAAAATGTAATTTACAGACACATGGGTTGATCCACTGCTCGATGGCCTCCATAATGTGCTTAGATGCTTCATGTGTGGATTCTGCTTGCTTTAATAGTGAAACAAATTCCTCATCGAATTCTGTCTTTTCAGCTCTTCCTATGACTTCATTTGTTTTCTTGACAAAAGGTAGCTAATTTTCGAATTCAAAGCAAACCTGCAAAGCCCTATTGAGCTTAGTATTAGTAGTATCCAAAAATTTCTTCATTCCTACAAGAACACGTTACACTTTTGAGAGATAGACTTAAATCTACCAATGTTTGTTGAGCAATATAAACAAAATGACTTTGACTATCAATAACAGTTTAAAGCATGAAAGTATGTTATCTTTCAAAGTTTCGATAATTTGGTAGCTAAGTTTACATTGTCTTGAGTCATTCTACTGAAAATACTTCATTGTAAAAGATTGTTACTTCAGAGAAGACAGTAATCTGCGAGTCCTATGTAAGTGCTAGCAATGAAGATCAGTCAGTCGATTCAGTGTATATGGAACGGGAATTGGTTTATGTTTGACGATGGTCTAATCGGAAAGTTGTTTATAAGCTGACAATTTATTTGTTCTGAGCTTACGATACGTTGAGAAATCCGCTATTAGTCCTCATTTTCGCGAAAACAGGAAAATCATGGCTCAATGGGTTCTGTTGTTTGGTTGGAAGGCTATTTCTTTTATACATAAGTAGAACAGACTCAGATTATGTAATCACTTCTCACATAACATTAATATTCCGAATCAGTTTATTTGACACCCTTTGTCGTGTGGTGGTAAATAAATCCCCAAAATAAATGGCTCTGTAAGTCTTAGACATTGGATGCTGGCCATATTAGTTTTAGTGGACTCACCTGGCTGAAAGCGCTTGGTCATGCATCCGCACCAGATCACTAGTGGGAACGCCTTCCTCAACATCCCCTGCGATCGCTAGACAGATTAGATCAGTCGATTCACGATATATTGATAGCCTATCAAATTTATCGTCGAACCTTCCCACTTCTGTCTTTTGATTTCACTTAGTGGGTACGCTTCATATTAGATGTTACTGGTTAAAGCTTGTCGAAACTCCAAATGCCTGTGTCATCTTCATGTTCATCAAAATGTGATCGAAGGCATTGTAGCATTTGAGGAACAGCTAAACCTACCTGACTTTTCCGAGGCACTACACTATCCTCTCAATATTTTAATAATTGTGGCCCATAATAAAATCGGTAATGACGACAGGCCAGGAAGACCGCTCGCTTTTATAACCGATGGAACAACTTATACGACTATACAGTGTGTTTGTACCGGTAATGGTTCTCATACACGCTATCCTTCAAGCCGAAAATAGATGACTGAGATTTACGTTTAAAGTTTAACAATTTGTGGCCAGAAATGGTGATCGCGGGAAACTTTTGATTGCAATTGAGATATATATACCGTCAATCCTCGTATATAATCATGGACTTAGATCGCGTTAGTCCATAACGGAATTAAACAAGTCAAATACGAGAATGAATTTCGATTATGGATATTCCATCCAATCTTTGATCCAGACAAAATATCGGAGAAGCGAAGAGAAGAGCAAAGCGAAATACCGCGCAGTAGAGAAGGCATGTGTGCCAACTTCATTTGATCAAGCGTTAATCAATATTTACAGGCACACAAAATTAAGCCACAGACATGTGATAAATAGGATTAGAAGTGTACACACACATACGCTCATATAACAGCAGTCAAGGCTGATAAATGAATAAGTAACAAAGCCAAAATATGACTCAATTAGAATGGATAAATTACCCCCTGGTTCACAGTTGGGCGAGAAATATATGAGACTCGGAAACTAGTGAGTTAATATTAATTTTCACCGAAATTCGACAACTGCGTTTGCCAATAGAAAGACAAGTTGCAAGGGTTGATGCCGTCCATCCATTGTTAAATGAAAGATCTGGTGAAGCGCTTTTAAGTTGTAGTGGCATTGGGCCTTAATTGCACAATCCTCAAAGCTGAACACGGGACAATTAGGGTAATAGATATTCGACATTGAACGCAGAGAAAAACCCAACGATGGAGAAGGCGGGAACAATAAATTGAATCAATTCGCATTGGTCGGGTGGCATGGCTCGGCCTTGCAGGCGTGTTCCCTGTTGAATGTTATCATATGTCTTTTATTCATACTAAATACAATGTTCCATCTCTAGCCTAAGCTTGTTCTTCATCACGTATTGGTGATTGTTACGATGCAATCGGATGATGTAGACGATGATGTGACTTCCACGTAAGATCTTGTAATTTAAACAGTTATATTATTATTATTATTATCAGCTTTATTCAATATTATATTTTTGGTACAATATAGAATTCTCAGCGTAAAGTATTTCAACAAGTTTATGTTTCTTTCTTCTTGGTCGGTCCTAGCGATAAATATCGAGTGATCGCCAGTTAGATATTAGCAGTTCAGTAAATGAACATCTGAATAATGTGCATTCTTTTCGTTGTATATTGCCAGCGACCACATTGTCTCTTTTTGAGTTTTTGTAACTTTGACAACGAAAGGTTGTACACTTTTCAGAAACGCAGCAGAATAGGTTATACGATTAATAAACATAATGATGTATTAAAACAAACAAAAATAGATAACTTGTTGAAATATCTAGATGGCAGGCCACCCCTTATATCATGACAAATCTACAATTTTAGGATTAGGTCTATTATTAGGGCACTACTAATATCATAGTAGACCATAATTCTACAAAGTCACTTGATACCATAACTCGGGTTTTAAGTCAGACATAAATAGGTGCTCAAGAGCCCTGAGATGAAATTAATAATTTTAACTGATTCCCTTTGGAATTAATTAAGTAGCAAAAAACACAATTGTTTTTTGAGGTAACTATGGGTGATATGATCGTCCGATCGTCCTACATTAAAATCATCCCACGACGGAAATACCCTACTTTTATTGAAATCTCATCATAAAACGTTTTTCTCAAAAATAATAGTATGAAAATCACATCCAAATAATAGTATAATTATATGTCGATTATGAATTGGAAGTAAGAGGATTAATCACAATCAAAGTAATTATTTCTCAATGAAGCATTTGTTATTGTGCATAATATATAATAAAAGCGAAGGGTCTAACAGAATATTTTGATGAACGGTCAGTAGTATTGTAGATGATCTTTACATTCCAGATAAGTAATATTTATTATGCATAAATGACTGTCGATGACTAGACATTCTACAGTATCCTGTTTCTAGGGTAGCATCATTTCCACCCACCACTGAATTAGTTCGTACGTTCCGTAACTAAACAAATCAACATAACTCCATCAGTCTCTTCTAGGAGGTGGTTGACATTACATTCATAGGTAAACGTTCAAGTGCTAAACAATAACGTATTTTGCGGATAATGAAATTATGGATAGTAGTTATCAACTTCCTTATGTATGTATGCAATGCTTTCTTTATTTCTCCTTATTGAAAGCTGAAGTGTTTGTATGGTCAAAAGGGATAAGCCAGAGTCCCATTTGCTCTCCATATTGAGTAATAAACAGTAAAACCGAACTATCAAATGCCGTATTCAGTCTTTATTATCCAACTGAAGTATGAGACATCAGCTTTAACAAGCCACTAGTCAGTTTGCGAACCATTTTATGCCAACAGCTCACATATCAAAATAGTCTGTCACCTGGAGACAGTGAAACAAATTGTCTTGGTAAGAAACAACTGCACACTAATCCCTACAACGGATTTAAAATGTTGGAAACATTACTTTTGTTAGTTTGCACTGAAATCTGATATTGCACTACGCATACATTCATTTCTATCGGATTTAGTCATGTAACATATCTTACGTGGTGTCACATATATACTTGGTAAAGAGAACGGGAGGGCATTTCAAGTTGAGGTACGAATGTTGTTTTGTATTACAATACTTTCGGAATTAGTTGTGCCGCTGTAGCCATGTGACAATAATTCTTGATACTAATGTAAAGAAATTCGGGTCCACAGTGACAATTGTTAGGAGACCGAAAACATAGTTTTCCACTCTAGATATTTGGTCGCAAGCCACGTTCGAAACAACATTGTTGCTAGCCATTAGATTTGGTGAAAAGGTAAGACTATATATTATGAACAGACTAGTCAGGTGGTTGGTTGAAATTAATTCACATTTATGGTTATGAAGCATTAATGAATCATATGTAATATTAGTAGATTTCACCGAATCACACTACACAACAAATGGAAGGGGGTCAAAGAGGCAATCACTTCAACATGTCATGCCAGCCGAACAAGATCAGAGAAAGCCGAGGCACAGGCTGAATACACAGAAGTAAACAAACAAGTGAAGAGGAGCATCGGAACCGACAGACATAAAAATGTAGACGATTTAGCAACGACGGCGGAAAAGGCTGCAAGAGAAGGAAACATGAGACAATTGTATGACACGACAAAGAAACTCTCTGGAAATCGCCGTAAACCAGAACGACCGGTGAAAAGCAAGGAAGGCGAGGTAATCACCAACATTGAAGAGCAACAAAACAGGTGGGTAGCGCACTTCAAAGAACTCTTGAATCGACCAGTCTCACTGAACACACCCAACATTGAAGAAGCGACAACGGACCTCCCAATCGATGTTGGCCCACCAACATCATCAAGACGATCAGTCAAATCTGGTGCGGCAAAGCAGCAGGACCAAATAACACTCCGGCAGAGGCACTCAAAGTAGACGTGGCAGTAAACGCAAGGATACTCCAAATTCTTTTCAATGAGATTTGGGATGGAGAACAAATGCCAACAGACTGGAAAGATGGATACTTGACTAAGATACCAAAGAAAGGCGATCTCAGCAAGTGCTTTAGAAATACAGAGGTATTGTAGAATCCAAACTACGGTTTGGATGTTGAAGAATAGCCGACCGGGGATTTTAGACACACGCCCTTTCCCGTCGAAATCAGAACAAGTAATCGGGTAACTAGCGGTTTTATAATTCATCATAAATTTAAATGTAAATCGTTACCTAAACAAATATTACCACCCGGCTATTCAACCAATAATTGTTCAATCAATCAAATCATTCACAACAAATGAACGTTATTCTATCCTGACTGGATAGAACACACACAAAAGGAGGAGCAAATCGATATGGCTACCGCCAAGAACAAGTGTCAAGTAAAACAACACAGATGCAGTTCAGGAAGAAACACAAACTTAGTGAATGCGTAAGAAAAACAAGAACTATAATAAAAAATACAAGTATTAACAACTCAAATGTAAT